CAAAAGAGAACAACTTCAGATAGTGGCAGATAAATGCCTTCAGATTTCAGCCTGGAGACAAAAACTTCTTCTGGCTGCAATTGAATATCTAGCGTTGGTGGTGGCGTGGGAGAAATTCATTAGAAGTCATAAAGCTGTCTCACCAAAATGATTGATTGCCCTCTGGCTGGCTCTCACAGATAACCATCGTCTCGTGACACAGTGCCACCCATTATCTCCACGAGATGATTATAGGGAGAGAGGCAGAAGGTGAGAAAGAGCAAGTTTAATTGCAGAAGCATTGTTTAATAAAGGCAAGTTATTTGTCTGCATTCCTCTACTGCTGTTCACTCGGTACACTTCCCCACTGTGTGCGATGCCAACATCGAGCGATGGGCGGCTGCTAGATGTGTGGGCATCGTTTCTTACACATTCCGTTCCTCTAACTTGCCAACAGACGGGACAGGCCTGGGCCAAATCACATGATGTGTGTGTGTGTATACAGTACGAATGGAAGAGTCTATTTGTGTGTGCACCTTTGCAAACTATGAATATGTTTTCAGGGAGACTGAGTTTGCATAGATGTGTTCTGTGTTTGAGTGTTTGTCTGTGTGTATAGCAGAGAAAGCATGCTGCATACTTGCGTTTTTTAAGTATGTGTGTGAGTATGTGTGTGTGCGTCTGAGTGTGTGTGCGCATGTGTAAACAGCTGGCAAGTCTGCCTGTGGTGCTGTGTAAACAGAAGTGAAGGTATTCTGGCTGAGGTTACGATGTGGGTGGGGGGGTATGCTGGGGCTGAATGAGGCATTTTAGTGCTGACAGTTAAAAATACCCTGAGCAGGACTAGCGGTGCTACTGCTGCAGCTAGTGCCGATCCAATGGAGCTGGCCTACAAAGCCCCCCCCCCCAGCATGCTAAACCTGATGTAAGATAATGGCTAACCAGAGGTATGAGCCCTCCCACACATGAAGACATGTGGGTTCTTTATAGGCATGGAACAAGTCGTTTGATATTCAAAAGTAAACAAGGCCTTATCGTGCAGCATGATGCTCCAATGATGCTGCGTCCGTCAACACTCAACAATATTAGAGGCAGCGGATAGATTTATGGGTGCGTAGGCAAAGGGTTGATGAAACCTGAGCTCCGTAAAACAGATCACATGTCACACCCTTATGCCAATGGAGGCCTGAGACTGAAAAAATGGAGTTTATCAGACAAAGATGATTGAATTTTTTTTTGGCTCATTTTACTGAGCTATCCTATTCTTTTGGGTCCTGGCCCATATTTAATCATCATCTATTTCCCCCACCAAATTTAAAATTGCCCTGATGCTTATGTGATAATGAGATGGGCGTGTCCATGTGTGGCAGGGCAGGATCAAGTCTGTGTGTGCAAAAAGGCATTACATTTCTTTTAATAATATTTACTGATGTCTTCAGATATATTCTTGACATGTCTGAAAATATTTTACTATGTTTATTTTTGGGCTAAATATTCAGAAGTCACAGTTACCTGGAGTTAGAGGAATATACTGGAAGTTCTCATTGGCTCGGGCTACACTGCTTATACATTGGGACTGAAACAGCAACTTAATTTCACTGATTCAGTCTGGCCATTAAATCATTTTAGTCAGAGGCAAATGGAGAGTTGTTTGCTGTTTATCAGGCTGAAAGGCTTCCTCATTTAATGATAGCATTACAGTAATATAGGTGTTTACGATAGGTGTGGGGCTTATTTAGAGTTAATAAAACATTCTCTTTCCTATGTAATGAAGGATGCTGTTTGACATAAGTGCTTTTTGTTTGTTCTGTTTGGTCTCAAGTGTGAGCAGAGAACCATTAACTTGAGACAAACATTTTTACCAGTGGTTTGTGAAAGCCTTCTCTGAAATGTACGAGAGGAAAGGCAATGATGCATGGTTTCTCATCCATCTTTGCTCCACTCCAAGATACAAGACAATAGGTGTAGAGGCATTCTCAATATTAAAATTGGATCCTTTAAAAGCTGAGGTGAGATAATCATAATATAAAAGTTGTTGTTGTTGTAACTTTCTCAAAGTTAAATTTCATTGTAACAGTTAATGTGACTGTGGAGGAAAAGAAGGTGCTAACAAAGTTTGGGCCTGTTTAAAAGTGATTCAAGGATGTTCATATGATTCACCAAGATGAAACTCACAAGCGCCTTTCAAGGGAATGTCAGATATGGCCAAGTGCGATCAACACTTACCAGTCAGGATGAAGATGTTGAAAGGTAGGTGGAGCTCTAGTAGAAAGAAGGGACCAGTGACTTTTTATTGGGGGCGGGCTGGTAAAGGGGATATGACTGACAAACAGAATGTGTGTTTTTGTGTTAAATTTGATAATGTCCCCCTCGGGTTTCCAGGAGCCCAAGGATTGGGCTGAGTGCAGAGCGTACGACAGAGCTTCAAAAAGCAGCTATTTAAAAGTCTCAGTTAACAGGACCCTCCAAACAGCCAAACCGCTTCAAACGTCAGCCAAACAAGATCCACATTGTTCAATGGCATGCCCAAAGTGGCCATAACCCAAGCACGGGCCCATAAACAACTTCTAATTGGTTTAATTATCATATAATTTTAAAAATATGTTTTAATATAGGGTCTATCCTTTTATTTATCCAGAGTGAAGTGGAAATAAGACTTGGGCCCAGTAACAAATTCAATATGTTCATTATGTAAACACCTTAAAGAGCTGTGTGAGAGAGAGATAGAGTGAATGAGTCAAAATGGAAAGATTAAATAAAAGTGTATTTTCATTGAAGTGCTGCACATATGCAAAAATATTTTAAACTAAATGTTTGGTGGTTTGCAAGATAACCCAAACACACTGATGAATAGATAGAAAAATGTCCAAAACCACTTCTGTCTTTGTTGCTGTTTTTCCAAGAGAGCTGATAGATGATGTACAGAGGAAGCCGGCCGAGTGTTTCACAACAACTGCTTCCTTCCTGGATGGAGGTTCGAGTGGTACAGAGAAGGATAAGAGAGGAGAAATGGTCAAAATCGACAAAGAGACCTCCTTCAAACTTCAAGAGCTCCTCCCTTCAAACTGCGAGCTGCAGAGATGAGTAAATAAACCGCCTGCAGACCGCTGACCCCTAATCAGTACTCTCTCTTTGGACCCTAACTCTTGAGTATTGACAAGCAGAGCTCAATTCGTGTCTCAAACGCTGCCACAGAACGTGTGAGAACACACTGCACCACAATCACAACACACAGGAATGTTCAGCATGTTTACTTTAAATGCTGCCTTATTGGAAGTCTGATGTGGATTGCCACAAATTTCTGCTTGGCACAACAACAATGAAAACATGCAAATGAGATGGCAAAACCCAACCCTCACCATGTCTGTTCACGTCTAATGAGTTGGGAGCTGTGGTTACAATCAGAACACCTATTACAGAAATACTACATGGGATTTACTCAAGTGTGTGGCATGTTTTGCAAGAAGGAGCTGGAGGGAAGTAAATGTCAGTGGTGTAGAGTGAAATTTACCTCCCTCCAGCATTTTCAAATGAGCTGAGAATTTGTGCTATTATTTCTGTGCTAATGACTTTGAAACCTCCAGGAATTATAAAAACTACTGAACAACTGTTGATTATTTTCAAAAATCATTAGTGGCTTTCAGTTGTACTTTACTTGACAGCTATGTCACGTATACTACTTGTTACAATACAGCATTTACATACATTTCTACTGGATTATACCGATAATAGGCTTAACCAGAGTTTACACTAGACTTTCTTTATGGCCAATATGGCTTTTAATATTCCAGAATTCCAGCCATATAAAACAACTACTGAACATGTGTTTTAAATAGCCATATAATGGATGACAGAGATTGAAGAAATCACAATTAATTAAAAGTACCCTGTGCAGTTTTGACCACTGGTGGTGCCACGAAGCAACGTTTTCAAGAGCTTTTGTATCTCTACTAGCACACACACAAAGATGCACATGTAAGCATGCGGGTGATAGGTACACATTCTTGCTGATGGCTTTATTACTATAATTGACCAATAATGTTGGTAGTGCGCGAACAAACAGCAATTTTGCCAGCAATATGTGGGAAAGATGACTAAAATATAAGTTAGGCCTCAAAGGTTTGGTCAGAAAAGCTGAACTGTAAACCTTTAATCACGTGATTCAACATAGATATTGTATGTCAGGGGAGGACTCCGTGAATTTGCAATTTGGCTAAATTCTCTTGAGTCTTCAAGTCATCAAACTGACTTCATAATGTCAGTTACACAGCAATATAAATTTTATTGCATCTGAATAAATTTTTCTTTTCAAAAGTTGCATAGTCTTGCATTAAATAAATGATACTTAGTGTAAGTTATGAGACATACTTGGTACCTACATGACAGGCACAAATCTGGAAGAGAGTATTTCAGGGTAAGTGTTGCATCACTGTGTTACAGTAGAGACCCATAACAGGGATAGTTCAGAGACGCCATTTCGCCTCCTTTGAGACCAAATGTTATCATGCCAGATTTGTGGCCTCACAACAATTTTAGGCAGCGCCAGAATGAGGGATAAATTGCCTTGAGTCATCGGATTCCTATTAGGGAAAATGTTTGCGGAATGATTGGCAGTGATACCAAAACCACTTTTAAATGGTCAGAGAAGATGAAGGGGGAAAAAGCGACTGAGGCATCAGGTCTGTTCCAAGACTAAATCTGACTGTCAACAATGTTAGCCTGTGATCAGGCCCTCCAGAACGACACACACTGCACGCCATGCTTTTAAGGAAGGGAAATAGAGTAATAGTAGGAACCTGATAGTGTTTAGATGGCCAATTAGCCGTTCAGCAGATCGAGAACTGTTCTACTTAATTGCTGACGAAGACCAGCGCTGTTCTCACTCTTTTGTTTAGTATGCACGTGACTTGAGGATGAAGGCAGATTGTTTTGTTAAACCAGAAATTACAGCGTGATGTTCTGTTTATGTGGGATAACTGCAAACTAATAGTCATACTATAAAAAGAACACACATGCACGCACACACTGAAGCACCTTTATTTTGGAAGCTCTGTACATCCTCTGTTAATCTGTCTTGGGTGAGCTCCGAAACGTGTGTTTCATTTGCAGCTTTGACCTCAGGATCACGTCATAATTTTCAAAACGAGTTCACTCCTCATTAGAAGTGAGAAAAGTGATGGAGCAATGGGGGGCAAAGAGGGAGGAACTGAGAAATAAAGATAAATGGGACATGAGGTATATAGAGAGAGAAACAGCAAGAATGAAAGAGTGTTTTGGATGATGTGAGCCAAATGACAGGCGTTGGGACACGAATGTGAAAACTTAATGGGCCTGGCCTCAGAAGTGGGCCTCCCCAGTAAAATGAAAAGCCTGTGAAGCTGGCTCCTGTGATGGATGAAGCGTTGCGCTCACCGGGCCCTGACAGATTCTGGGAAAGCGCTTGAGCCGTCTCCGGTCCTGATAAAGAAATAAGAGGAGAGCCAGCGCTGCTCGTCTCGCTCCTGAGGTGACAGAGGAGCTTTAAAAAGTGGTGGATTTTCCCAGCCAGATGGCCATTATCTACAAAGTTGAATAATGATGACACGATTTGCTTTGCACCCTTCTTTTGGACAATTATAGGATCAATACTGAATATCAAAAGCCATAACTACAAACATGTTTATGCCTGACCTTGGTGGCAAAGGTGCTATCCATCTAAGCCTGTGGCCCACTGACTACTGATACAGAGACCCATTTCTCGTTCCGGAGATGTCTTCAGTCTGGTTTCTAATTGGTACCATCTCCTCTCAGTGACATCACTGGAGTCATGGGAGAGTGGATGGGGACCAGATGGCGAAGAGATGGTGACGAGCCACTCTAGAGTCTCTCTTCTCTTCACCTCTCATCCATGTGGTTTTCCTTTGGTCTTTTGCTTATCTTATCTTATCTGTCAGATCCGGTTTCTACCCTCATCCACTGTCGCCATCAAAATGTTTGTTTTTTATTGCCTTTGGTTTCCAATACAATTGCCGTCGACTAAATCAATATGCATTCGCTTCAACTCATGCATCCTTCATGGTGGCTATGAGTGATCATACAGGATCAGTTGTCCTGACATACAATAGATAGATTGATTTGGCCTCAAAAGATTGTGCTCTGATTTAAGTGGCTTGTGGTGGCTGACTCCTTCCGCAGACCTTTGGCCTCTAATTAACACCCTTTCTCACGTCCCCTTCCTCCCCCTCTATCAGTTCCCAAAAGTGGCCCATTACAGCCCAAGCAAAACGCACTGCTGTCCTGGTGAAGGTCGAACATCTTCAGCGCCTCACGCTCGCACATACAAACATACAGAGGCGAAGACTCATTGATCCTAGGCGCTGGTGTTCATTTCAGATTCCTGTTAGGATCCATCCACCTCATTGATTTCACCATCCTCTCTGATTAGGCAATTGAGGGGAACATACCAGCGTTACGATGGGCTTGATCAGGAAGACTTGCCCCAAAGAACAGCTGATAAAAAGAGAAGGAAAAAGTGTAAGGGAGACAGGGACAAAAAAAGAGTTGACCGTTGCTTGCTATGCAACTATAGGGCAGCAGTTTTGAATAAACAATTAGCCTACCTTGTTGCAGTCATGCTGTCTGTTATCACCTACTCTAAAGTGGCCCTTGAAGTGTCCAAATAAATATGTTCACACATATGAGAGAGAGGTTAGTCTCTGTCTCTGGGTCAATGACAAGAATTCCTTATGTTCTCTAATGCTGCATTCATGTATCCGAATCTTTGCACGCAGGAAATGTACAAGAAATGAGGCACAGATAGATGGTTTATTGTCCAGTCATTATTACCAAAATTCTTCAGTGATACCTCATTTTTATTTTAAAGAGAATATTATGTATTGTTATATATCTCATTTAAAGACATAAGGCCCATGAATCTGTGGAACATGTTAATAAATTATTTTTTCATACAAATACGTTTTAATCAAATTGTGATGTTCAAGTCAAACATTTTCCAGCACCTCTTTCTTCCCGTGTATTGAACATGCCATTTAAAATGAATTATATCCGTCCCTGCCTGGCAACCCCACACCCAAAATTAAAAAATTATAAACTAGTTGTAGCCTACAGTACATTACGTAAGCAGGGTTCCTGGCTCCAAATCACAGCTACTTGATTTTTTTTATCATGCATATTTATGTTGAGGTTGGGTTCAGGGGTCCTGGCCTGTAACAGTCAGCTAAAGCTTTTAATTGTAACCTGTAACCTCATAAAGTTAGTTAATGATGTGCTCCTTGGCATTATATGTAAAACTTGGCTACTTCTGTAGGCAGTATGCTAGTTAGCTTACTTTAGTGCAGATAGACACATTCAATTTGCTGCGTTCACAATGACAATTATAAGAAAATGCAGTGCACTATGAGTACCTGGATGGTATACTCATTACGGTCAAAAGAATGAGTGTGGAACACTGGACTCTTGTCTCCCTCATTGGTCGCCATATTGGCAACGTTGCAGAAGGGGAGGGAAGCTTCAACGGTTGCTCTGGTGAACACCACACCACACGAATGTAAGTTATACACGTGTTTTTTCCCCACTAAGTACCAATATATTGCTGTCAGATAGAAGCTCATCAGTAATGTTTTTGGATTAACTTCGCAGTAACGTTCTGTCCGGTTGCAATTTGCCATTAAAAAGAAGAAAAAGAAGTCGTGTTTGATTTCAGACAACACTACCCTGTAAAAATTCATGCACTACACAAGTAAGTACGTAGTGTACACAGTGTATGACATCTGAACTGAGACACAGCAAATGTTTACTTCAATCCTTACACTTCAGTTTGGCTTTTGGAAAGGCAAAAAAGACACCACCCTCCACTTTGAACTATGGTTCAACTGACACCTCATTTGAATGTAGAGAAATTCAAAGCTTGACAGGCCTGCCATGCCTAGTTATGGTTGCTAAGCTGTGTTTAGAGAATTGCTGTTTGGGGGATGGGTTTAGCAAATGGTCAATTAGTGACAGACTCTTTAAAAAAAGAAGGGGCAGCAACAATACTCGTATACCTACACTGACTCAAAACAAAGGATTTGCGGTGTACACCAAGCAGTGGGACGTGTTCTGCTCAATGATTTCCGACCCAGAGGAGAGAGTGCAGACACAAAGCCTGCCTGTGCCCACGACACAGATCACATGCAACCACCTGGAACTGCTTCTGAACACACGGCCCAGACCACAGAAGTGGATCCAGTCACAGTAACAGAGGAAAACTGTCCAGGCATTCTTCCTCGTCTGTGTCAACAATGACACACCTCTGCTCCGGCTCGTCCCCTCCCTCCTCCTGCTGTTTTTAAAGCACTAACAGAGAGTGAAAGAGAAAAAACAGGCCTGTGTCACATTGTAAAGCCAAAACACTTACAGTCCCAACTGCTTTTATTCATGGCGAGTCACTGTCTTGTGCAGTCCTCAATCCCAGCCTTGCTTGGACTCTCTCTGTCTGTCTTTCTCTCTCTGGCCCCTCTTGTTTTCTCTCTTCAGAGGGATAAAGCAGCAGTTGAAGAAGTAGCCCACCCTAGGGGTTGAAAGCTTGTATCCCATCCAATCCTGAAAGCTGTTTTCACTCAAAACATTGTCACCCTGCCCAAACATGTCAGAGGAAGTTATTTGTAACAAGGGGGATCGGGAACTATCCTTTAGATCTGTCATCGGGCTGTGGAGAGGAAGCTTGTTGCTCACTGGCCGTACGCCTTCGCTGGCCAATCAGAAGGCAGGAAAGAAAAATAAATAGGAGGCTAAGTCCCTGAATGGACAGCTCACACCGGTGGTTTCATCATCCTCCTGGCATGTCTGCTGCAATGGCAACAGTGTTTCTAACATGTTTGTACTATTTTTCCTTTGCTTTTCCTTCACTGTCATCCTTCCCATTCGTGACCACTTTTAAACACAGCACATGGAACGTCATCTGGTAGGTTGGTGTGGTAAAATGATTTAAAACAAAATCACGGTGCATTGCATAATCAACAAAATAAAGCAAACAGGCTATAATTTTGGAAACCTAATATACTTATAATATTATCTTTAACTTTTTAACTTAGAACTTTTCCATACTCCTCTTCAGAAGCACTTGAACTATGACATTCTATGATGGACTTTCTGGCCCCAAATACAATATTTTACATAAATTCAGCTTCTAATAATGTGTTATGGTGGAAGCTTTGTTTGCTAATGGTGCATTTGAAAGTATTAAAGGGTTTAGTATTACTTACTTCCAGAAAGTTCTCAAAAAGGCAGATATATCCTGACTTTTAATCCCTAGTATGGGTCTAACTCTAAAACCCCTGGATCCTACAATTCCCATAATTCAAACTAATAGCATATTTCATTAGACCTCGTTTACCATTAAACTCCACATGTCCAGTTTGTAATGCAGGCTTTCTGTTATATATTATGTATTTTTTGTTATGATGAGCAAACTGAGTGTGTAAATGCAACATGAACAAATGCAAATCAAATAAGTGGCAAGAGATCACAACAGAATGATGTATTAATATATGTGCTTCAAATGTATGCACAATCTGACAGTTTTACTCTGTAATGTTTGTGATGGGGCAACTTCCATGCCATGAGTCACTGCAGTGAGTCCAACCGGCTCTCTGGGTGTAAAAACAAACTTTATTAAAAGATCATAGGCACGAGGACCGACAATAGGAGAAGTCATTAATCAAAGGTGGAACGGCTGCCATGGCATGCATGGCGTGGTGGGAGGCTCAGTTGGAAAAGCATCACAGAAAATGACTCATGCTTTTCCAGATATGTCGGTGCAATTCCCTCGCGTCTCCTCCTCCCTCATCAGGAATGACACAGCATTGAGAAAAAATGTCAGTGGATGATCACTGACAAAGAATCAAACACAAACAAATGCAGCATGCTGGCAACAGCTGGCATGCTGAAACAGGCATGTGACACACCGCTCTGCATGCACGCAAGCTTAATTCACAGTCACAATCATTCAGAACTCTGCAGGCACAAATGCATATGCTCTATCACAGTAAAACAACTCCCCCAAGGAAAGCTGTGCCCAATCAATTGTTGTAACCATTATTCAGCATATGTGGCTAATTTGTCCCTGGCAATTTCCATCATGGTTTGGTGATGGTCTACAGAGAGAGATAGAACAAAGCGGCGGTCGAGGCGGTCACATGACAAGTCCAGACCAAACCATCGCAGCCACAAGTGCACAGCATAAATGTCAGCACTTTGACCAATCCAGTCTCCCATTCTGCTTCTATCAACAAACAACAGCACAATAAATATTAGCAAGGATAATGATTGTGCTAGAGCTGGACTTGATGCTAACACATCAAAGTTTGCCAGGTAGCAAATGTGAAACGTCTGATGTTGCACTGGAGTCATTTAACTAAATTAACCCAGTTAAATGTGCTGGAGCCTGTGGTTAGCAGAATATAAAGAGAAGAGTCACTACCTCGTCCACACACATTTGTCAGTGCATGCTGATAGACTGACAGATGCATATGCGCGCACACATACACACAGGCTCTGTGGGTAATAGCGGCAACATGGGTGTTAGAGGGGCGCCACTGTGGTTGGACTGGGCTGTCTGGGAGCATAAAGTGGCCTTCTCATGGTTCCCCACTTGCCTGGGTGGTCTGACTCTGGTGCGTGCGTGTGGACAGGGACGGACATACACTCGTCCTGCAAAGGTGAGATGAGTGAGTGTGTGTGGTTGCAAAGGGAGGCAAGAAAGCCTGGGCAGTGCCCACACATGAAGTGCCACAAGTCCCACTGACCATCCTATTGAGCACAGACGCACACACACACACACACACACACACACACACACACACACACACACACACACACACACACACAGCCACCATCCATGTGGAACAAATATTTTGACAGGGATGGGTAGACGACGGGGCGTCTCCTCTCGCTCTAACTGGGTTACTTCTGGTGTTAGGCTGGGCTCAGCACAGGAAGGACTCGGTATGTCCAAACAAGACCTGAGGAAACCTCAGCCACTTTTAGAGTTAATCAGACCCCCGCCAGCCCCCAACCCCACCCTGACAACTCTGGAGGCAGACGCTAACACTGAACCATCAGATGGTGGAGCAGACAGGACAGCAGATTTCTGGGGTTTCTAAGTTGTGGCCAAAAGGAAAAAAATAAACACTTTCTCCTTCCAATGAGATTTCAACAGGCCAATATGCCGCCTGTCGGCCTTCCAGTTACATTGAAAAAAAGTGTCATTCTCTCTCTCGCGCGCGCGCTCACTCTCTCATAAGTGCCAGACTATTTTGGTTTCCCAAAATATTTTCTAAGGTCTGAAGAGCTGCTTTTATATATCTGTCGCCTTGCTGTTTGAAAGTGTCAGCTGAAAAGGACCATTCAGTGGCCAGATTCAAAGTGTGTTGATCATTTGAAATGGTTCTCTATTTAGAGGGAAGGCCACCTCGGTCTACTGAGCAAAACTACAGCTTCACAGCATCTATTGTCCGTTAACTTAATCACTGGTGGTCATGTTCAAATGAATCAAGCCCTATGTTGCTTTGTAAAACAGTATAACAACACTGCTGTCACTTTGCGTAGCTCTCGGCTTTCTTTCACCCATTCTCTACAACAGATAGTGACTCAGCCGTTCAGTTAGCCAGTTTTTTTCAATCAATGCTACTTGATTTTTTCTAATCCACTATGTTTCAGAATAAAATAGTGTGCTTTTAATCCACTACATTTATCTGACATCTGTAGTTACTAGTTACTCTGCAAAATAACTGAAAATGATGACAAAACATATGATTGAGATGTGTAAACTATGAAACGTTTACACATGTGAACTAGCTTCATCTTGACTAGCCAAAACATTACAATCCTTCATTTGGGCATCACTACTTTTAGTTAAATCCTTAATCCCCCTCATTTTAGTTCAGCTAGTTGCTAACTTCTGTCATTTGGTGCTGGGTAGGTAATGTACAGTGATTTTATCAGAGCTTTTTCACTAAAAACAGCTGCCTGCTGTGGTTGGAAACGACACAAACGAGGGCTGAAAGTTGCAGACTGTAAAATCAAAAGAATATGAGAGCTCAGACGAACTGCAGTGTATAATTATCTGTGCGTTCATCAGTATAAGCAACACCTTTCACGTTACAAGTATTAATTTTTTAACTTTTTTTTAGTACAGCTTTAGGTCAATACATGGAGCACTTCACTATTTTTTATCTTATTAAATATGCGACTCGTCAAACAAACTTCACTAAGCTTTTTTTTTCTGGAGTAGGTTACCAATTTTTAGGGACACTCTTCACCCTCACCGACAAGATGCTTTGTTGTTTACATGTTATTTCTCTGCCTCCTCCATGCACGCAGTTAAGGGAGCACCATTCATTATTGATCAGGCTTTTTCCAAAAGTCCTTATTGAGTAATAAACAGTCGTTCATAGACAGTAGATGCATTAGTGTCAGCAGGAGCGCCAGGCGGATAGCAGAGGCCTATCAGTCACTATCATTCCCAACGTGACGAGACTGATTATAGGTTATTATTAAGCTGTATTGATTACTGTCGGGGGGGCTAAGTGTGCTAGAGAGACACTGTTGAACCATGTATGGAGAGACTTTTATAGCTCCCTGCACTATAGTACACTGTACAGTAATAATGCACACTATCGGACAGTTAAAGCAGCTTGCAAACTTTGACAATAAACACAGTGTTTACTATCATGCTTTGTTTCTAGTCTTATATTACAATATGCATTTTCACTTTCTGTCTGGGTCTATGTCAGGAAAGGCATTTACCATCAAATTCCATCAGTGGTTTTAAGCTTTTATCATCACAATAATTATGGCTGTCCATTTACTGAATAAACTTTTGAAGTGGTAGCACTTTGAGATGCCAGAGCCACCCCAAACACACCACTTTTGGGGGCAGAGGGAACAGCTGACAGGCTTTGGAAGCCATGTGGGTAACCTCCCCTGTACCACTTTGTCCACACACACACAGACAAACATGGACAAACACACACATACACACACACACACACACACACACACACCATTCTCTCCTCCAAACCAATCATTATACCCATCCTGCCCACAGCTTGAGAGTCCTCAGGTCCACAGAACATACTTAGTTGTGGTTGAAGAAGCACTTATATCCACTCAGCAGTCTGCTTTTCCCTGCCCATGACGATGCCGTTCTGGTGGGGGGGGATCTTCTTTTACGAACTTCCTGCGATCGTCCATCATGCCTGCTAAAAAGAAATGAGTGGGTATGGTGGCCACAGTCTCTAACCTCAAGAAGAGCCTAATGTAAGGGGCCTTTCTGGGCCAGTTCCTCGGCCACCGTTGCATGAGAATTGATGCCATTAATTATTTATGCTCCATTGGGTTTAATATTTAATGGTGGCAACATGTAATTTACACTTACACTCGAGAAATCACGGGGTACAGACCAAAATAAACAAGTGTCTTTGTTCCAAAGAGTGGAGCGGGTGTTATATGAATCCTATCCGGTGGGCTCTGATTTCACTAATAATCTTCAGTGGAAAACAGCAACTCTGTGCTTGATTTGATTCATATTGGAAAGGTTTGGAACCAGCTGATTTTAATGCACCATTTATCAATGTGAACCAAATCAATACAATTTAAAAGAAAAAAGGCTTTTCCTT